AATATTTAAATTAATAATAATAAATTAATAATTAAATTAATAATAATAGTGAAATAATTACAGCTGAAATGACATATCTGAGATTTACTTCAAAATAACCCAAGAAAGAGGAGAATGAATTGGGGATATAAATGGTATAGGACTGGTTGAGAACTGTTGGAAGTGAGTAATGAGTACAAGGAGACTCTTATTTCTCTGTGTACTTTTGCTTATGTTTGAAATTACTCACAATTTGTTTTTAAAAAAAGGTACATTAATTGTGATGTTCTGAAACAACTTATGGTGCTTTCACAAGTAATGTTTTAATATTTTATGCAATGTTTACAAAAGATTTTCAAATAAAACAGTATGTCAGATTAATAATATAATACCTGCAATTTAAGTACAAGATTGTCAAAAAGCACTATTTTCAATAAGCAGGAGGTTTATGGTAACCTCATTATAAACTCTGGTGCTTAGTCTTTCTCACCAAAAAAAAAAATTTATAAACAATGTATCCCTTGAAATAAATCTACAGGTTCTTGGAGAGAACTCCAGTTATTTGAAACATAGTTTAAAACAATGCAAATACAGAAAGTGTGCTGACATATTTTGATTTTAAAGCAATTCATCAGGAAAACAATATGCTTTTTTAACTAACCTTCTTTTCCCCTCTTTCCAGAATCGTTGTAATGTCTTCATCTGTCAGCTCAGTTTCTTTAGAAGCAAAAACATGGGTGGCTCCATGACGTATCATTTGTAACATTTCCTCTTTTGCCAGCTTGTTAGATTGTTGATCAATGAGTCTTCCTAATAATAAAAATTTAAATTGCACATATTCAACCAATTTTTTTCAAAGAAAGCATAGCTTAATAGTTTTAATCAGACGCTACTACATTAAACCATACATAAAGCAATTTTATTAAGAAAACATCAGTGAGCTTTAGTTATTTGTCTCATGACAGCCCTACAAGTGTTTCTTCTACCATATTTTCTTTTACACTATGAATTTCCTTCAGTTAAAACTCAGGAGATAAACTTCTTTTTCATGTCCAAACTTTGTTTTTCAGATCAAATTTCTTTGTAATGAAAGATACCCTCTAAAATATATGTTTAAAGTATTGTATAGCTAAACATTTTAACTGCTAAATAATATCAGGTACTTCAAAAGGCATGTCAGAGGCATTCAACTATAAGCTAGTTATGTTCTACTACTCCAAATACTGAATGCAAGGGTTTCAATTAGGAAGAAAAGATTTCAATTAACATTTTGCAGCCAACTTTTTTCTCTAAGTTTGTAAATTTTGGTAAACCTTTATTATAAGTGATCTCCTTTAAAGAAATTTGTTTTTGCAAAAAACACCTAATTAAGATTATACATATAAATACCTTGTTGTATAACAATTGAATCAAGTCTCAGTTTTATCTCAGCTCTCTCTACAATTCTTTCTTCAACAGTGTCGTCAGTGATGAGACGGAATACACGTACTGGCTTCTTCTGGCCAATACGATGTGCTCGATCCTAATAGAAAGAGTCCTAAAATTTAGAGTATAGCCAGCATATGCTGTAAAATTCTAAAAATAAAATTAGTTCATCTCATTAGACCTGTAACTTTTGAAAGAAGTATGATGAATGTTAAGCATGTCCAGAGATGGCCAGGAACAAAGAAAAATGCAAATATTATACAGTACCGGTACTAAGAAACTTCCAGAAGGGCAAAAGGCAAAGCCCATTTAAGATGAGGACAAGAGGCATCAAAAACTTTTTGTATTGAGTTACTAAGTAACTTTAAGCCACTAAACACAAACATCTTCCAAGCTAGCAAGGAGTTTTATAAGCAAAGAATAAAGTAGATAGAAAGGGTTGCTATGGTAGCAAAAGTCTGCTTTATCTCATCATCAAGCAGTTCTTTCCGCTCACCAAGGCAATTCAGGGATATGCAGCAAAAGGTTGTAAAAATTAATGGGATATTAATATCCTTACTATGCAGTGGTCTAAAATGAGCCTATGGTTTATAATTGGCAAAGGCAACAGGTGGTAACTTCTGGTAACCTAGGAATAGTGATTTTAAAATATGGAAACTGCTAGAGCAAATAGGTAGAGGGAGAAGGGTAGTGGGGTGGGGGGGGAACACTAAAGAAACGGTTCCAAACAACCCTTGTACTAAATATAAAATGCTAGAAACCAGTAACAAAGTTTCAATAAAGCACATTAAAAGGAAATGTAATACTCTACACACACTTAAAATTTTACACTCCAACCATTAAGTCCGGAAAGACTGGCTGCACTCTTGATACTTCTTAGGAAATGAAGTGCTATCGCCATTAGATGTTCTAGCTCAGTACCACTGTAACTTACTGGAGCTTACTACTACTTAGTTAAATACAACAGATAGTCTGAAATCATGCTAAAGTAGTAATACTTATACTTTTTAAATATCCTAAAGGTCAATATTTTTAAGTTCTCTATTATAAATGGAAAAGACATAAATTACACCTCATTGGAATATGACCTTTCAATGTTTCCCCAAAAAAGTTAATTGTCCCAATTTTTTCTTGGGATTTTGGATACACAGCAATTTCGCATCTTTTTACTTATGAAATTACATTTCTTTACCATAAAATGTTAGTATCCTCTCCAATATTCAGGAAAGGGAAAAAAATTACACTTCTATTTTATGATAAAACCCAAGATGTGAGCTGTGTTTTGTTTTCATTTCTTGTTTTATTTTCAATTAGCACAACAATTAATTTCCAGAATAATCTACACTAACTTCTACAAAACTTCCCCAAAATTGTTATCCTTTAATCATAAATTACCTTTGTGCTATATAATAACAATAATATTCTGAGCTATGATAAATTACTAATGTCATCAAGGACTACTTACCATAGCTTGTAGATCAACCTGTGGATTCCAGTCTGAATCATACAGGATGACCACATCAGCACTTGCTAAGTTAATTCCAAGACCTCCAGCCCTGGTACTCAGCATAAAGATGAATTTGCTACTGTTAGGAACATTAAAGGCCTCTATTGCCTCCTTTTTAGTTGATAAAGAAATAAAAACAAAGAAAAAAATTGTGTTACCAGAGTCTTAAAAGATATTTTAACATGCATACAGAAAATCTTTACATACTTTATAACATTCTTTCTAAATATTCTTTATAATATTCATCCATCTTCAAAAATATTCAAACACATTTCTGTATATTATACTGGAATGGCTGCAGAAAACATACTATATTAAATGAAGATCTTTAAAAGCTTATATCAATAGAGACAGACAGGGCAATAACAGACAAATTTAGCTAAGCAAATAATAATTCATTTATATTGTTTTAAAACAATAATAGTGGGGCCAGGGATTTAGCTCAGTGGTTCTGCCGCCTGCCTCGCAAGCGCAAGGACCGGAGTTCGATCCCCGGTACCAAAAATAAATAAATAAAACAATAATAGTGAAAATATCCTAATTGATTAAGAACAGAAATATATCTGGAGAGTAAAATATCAAAAATCCCAACTTCATTCCCATTAGCTTATGGAGGATTGATACAGTGGATATGGCTTAGAAGATCAACCAAGAGAGTTCAAAGTTTAGAGATGGGAATCCGCAATAGATAAGGGCACAGTAAGAAGATAAGGCTTTTATCACTATGATGACAAGGAATAAACAAGGAAATAGGAGGAAAATCAAACAGTCAATCCCAGGGGTACTTAGTAAAGAATATTAAAGATTAATGAGATGTTAATAACCATTATATAAAGATCTCACACAAATTAATTAGAAAAATACTAAGACTCTAATAGGAAAATGATTCCCCCCAAAATGAACAATTCACAGAACAAATACATACAGACAAAACACACAGAAATAATGTTCAATTTCACTAGTACTTAAATGCAAACTAGAGCAACATAATACCAACTTTTGAAAATTAAAAAAATGATAATACTCAATGTTGACGAGGGGCGGTGCGACGGGCACTCTCATACATTGCTGCTGGGAGTTTAAATTGGTACAAACTTTCTGGAAAGCAATTTGGCAATATCATCAAGAGTCTTAAAAATGTTCATACCCTTTGACCCAGTAATTCCACTTCTAGGAATTTATCCTAAGGAAATAATCAGAGATGAGCACAAAAGTTTATGTGTAAGGATTTTCACTGTAACATTATTTATAATAGTGAAAAATTGGAAATAACCTAAGCAATCAACAATAAGGGGATGACTTATATGCAGCATATCTACAGGATGAAATATTATCCTAAAATTATTTTTACAATGACTTTTATTACTGACAAAGAAAAGTACAATATCATTTTGAGTAAAAAGCATCAGGATACTGAACCTTATAGTAAATATGACATTAATTACTTATATGTATTTTATCTATTCATAAAATGATTAGCCAGAAATACTTCACTTTCCAAATTTTCTTCAGCACTTCTATATTACTCGTATAATCACAGAATGCAGGAAGGTTTTTTTTATAGGAATGGACCGGCATGGTCAAAGCTGTAGGCCGAGAAGGTGACCCTGGTTGCCATAGTCAGTAGAGCATGTCAAAGGGGTAGTACAGAAAGCAGCATAGTGTAGTGAGAGGCACGTTGGTGTAGAAGAAATAGCAAAAACCAGGGTGTGAAACACAACTCTACCATTTCTTACATCTATCATTCTGGGCAAGCAGTTAACCTTTCTGAAACATAGTTTCACATGTAGAAAATTATACCAATATTTCACCTGGCTACTTCGAGAATTCAATTGGAACTTTAAGTTGCCTAGCTTATAGTAATTACTTGACAAATGTTAGTTCCTTTCTTTATAAAAGTGAGAGGGCCAATTATGCCAGAGGATGAACAGAGGCTGAGCTACCTGAATTTTGCTGTAGTCATGAGAAAAGGACAAATCTGAGAACTGATAAAAATTATTTCATTACAACTTGCGCAAAATCAGAGTTGAGGAATCAAATGTAGTTTTCCCCTTCTTGTTGGGAAGACAGATGAAATGATGTTGCGGACAACAACATAATGGAAAAGCAGGGCATCTCCAAGAAAAAGTGGACAGCTCTGATTTTGCTTTTGATTTTAAATTCAATACATGCAATTCAAAATCTCTGAAGGGAGAATTTTATTTGAAATTTCAAAAACCAGAAGAATTTAGACACAAATGGGTAATGAGCAGAGATAGCAGTCAGAAGTAAGGTCAGAACCATTCTGCCTGGGTTTCCTTTTCATTCTAGAAAGAAGGGTCATCTTGAATGGTACTAGAGAGGCTATACTTAATGTAGATTTGGAGAAACTAGTTCTCAGGAACAAATCCGCAAAAGCCTAGTAAAGCTTCAAATCACCATCTCAGAGAGAGTTAAAAAGCTATACAGCAGAAAGCAATGTATGCTTTGAAATGTCCCCTTAAGTGTAAATGTTGCCACAACCATTTCCCTACTGTGGCTAGCAGAAAATCCTTAATATGAAAAGGACCTGAGTCTTGCTACAACCAGACTTCAAAAAAAGCATCCAAGACATAGAGTTAAGTATTGTCACAGCTATGAAAAGAGAAGGGCATGAGTAGAGAATCCTGCGACCTGAAAAGAGGCCCTGAAGCCAAGAAAAACATATGTACAGTTCGTGGTATGTGCCATGCACTGCCCTATGTAGTTTAAAATTGTGTTTGTACCCATTATATCCACTGACACTCATAACAACATTGTCGGAAGTAAGAAACATAAGTATTAATTTCATCCTTACAATATAGTCAAAGATACAGAAACTCAGAGAATAAAATAGCTTGTGTACAATGCAAACTAGTTCTGGTACTAAAATTCAGGTCTTCTGAAACCAAGTTCAGTGCATTTTACAATATGTCATAAAGACTTTTTCCCAGAACCTGAGTATAGACTTAAAACAGAAGTCAAAGACAGAGCCCTGCAAGATCACAGAGGAGAAGATAAATCAGCAAAGCTTTCCCAAAAAAGTGCTTTAAAGGGCTTAAAATGTATTAGACCCATGGCATTGATTAGGAATAATCTAAAGCCCTATGAGAATTTCCAGATTCGAGGAAGATATGGATACCGAGTAGCTGAATGATTCATTCCTACATACCAATCTTTTAGTATGCTGAGATCCAAAATTCATTATAAGTGCCCATACCTATACTGTCCTATTCAGCTTTTTACAAAATCCCTTTAAGACCAAGGTTATTCCTTTTACAGATTACTACATTGCGTGACTCTTAAGGGTTGCTCATAAACCAGCAAAATCTCAACCATTCAACAGCCCAAATGGTCTACAGGAAGAGTCAAATCCAAAGAAGAAAACTTTAGGGTCAGAGATACCATTGCTTAGAAGAGATAAGGATGAAATGACGTAGTTCCCTCTACATAAGTGAGTATGTCTTCAAAGACCCTGGAAAGAATGCTTTGTAAGGAGTTAGTGGGATGGAAGCCAAATTGGAGTCTGGAAAGGTGGCAGTGAGAAATTCAATGTGCCTTAGCTAATGAAGAGGCAAAAGTTCAAAACTATCTAATGATGAAAAACAATGCTTAACTAAACTTTGATTTCTGAAGTCTTGTTTTATTTTCTATTCCTCACCTCTCTTTCTTCATGTGGGGTTTGTCCATCCAGCCGACAATACTCATAACCACGCCACATACAATAATCTTCCAAAATGTCTAGCAAGCGAGTCATCTGGCTGAAAATGAGAACCCTTGAACCTAAAACATTTCACCAAGGAAAGCAAATTATACACCTTGTTTAAAACTGACTTGAAAGTTATAAAGCTAAATTATTATACATGAATATAGAGCACATCAACACTCCACTAAAAACTCACACACACACACACACACACACATATACCATGAAGGAACACTACATAAAATTATGCATCTGCTGAGTTATGCAATTTTAAGGTCTTCAAAAACGCTCCACACATCTTGAAATAACCTAAAGTCTCCCTTTACTTTGTCCCAAGGATAAGTGATGGGTCCATGCAATCTCTCACTGGACTACTGCAATAGTTTCCCAACTAGTCTACTGGTTCTAGTCTCTCATCTTCAGTAGATCCCCCATGCTGCTGCCAGGTTGGCTTCGTAACATACAGCACTGGTTAAGTCACTCTCCACAACCAAATCTTTGACTCTCCCTCTGCCTTCAAAATAAATGCTTCCTCTCCTTTTTCCAAAGGTTCACTCCTACACATTCTCCAGTGCTCACCTCAAACATCATCTTTATGAAGACTTTCCCAACTCCCAATATCTCAATATATCATAGCACTCATCACAATGAATTGCAACTATTCCTCCTCACTACACTGTGAGCTTCTCCAAGACAGAGACTGTTGTCTCATTCATCTTCAAATACCCAACCTGTAGGACAATTCCTAGCAAATGGTAAGTATTCAACAATGTCTGCTAATCAAGTGAATGAATATGTAAATTTTTATTCATATACAAATAATTAATATGAATTTATTCCATGCTAATTAAAAATTCATTACTCACCCTGTTCTTTGAGTCTTGACAATAGCTTATCCAAAACCACCATTTTGCCACTGTTGCTGACAATATGCTCATCTGTGGTATAAGGTGGACCAGGTTCAGCACCATCAAACAAATATGGATGATTACAACACTTTCGAAGCTGCATGAGAATGTTTAAGAGTCGCATCTTGTCCATCTTGCCAGCAGAGTTTAAAACATCAATATCTTTCATCAGGATTTTTGTATACCTAAAATTGTAAACTACAATTAATCATCAATGGTTAATTCCATAAGGAAATTTTCCCTTAGCAATCTGATTAGATTCCTGTTTAAAGATAGAAAATGAAGTCTAACTTAAAGACTAAGGGTACAGTTCAGTGATAAAGCATATGCATGGCATATGTGAGGCCCTGGCTTCAATCATAGGCATCAAAAAAATGTTTCATTTGAGACTAAATCTGAAAACCAAGAAACTAATGAAGATGTTAACATTTTAACTTGTATGTTGCTTACAGACCTGTTTGCTCCTGCTTTATCCATTATTAGCAACTGCCACCAGCTGATAATGACTCAAATAATTACATCTGAGAATTTTCCATTACCTACAAAATTTACTGAAAGCTGGTTCCCAACATAAAAACATGTTTGAGCTAAAAACAATCTCAATTTCTTATTCTTATCTTCACAGGTCATTTTTTGTCTGATCTTGCTCAATATTTTTTCATTATCTTTTCTAGAACTTCATTCATGCCAAAAGAGATCTACAAATACAACTGACCAATAACAGTATATAATTACAGTAATAGCTAACACATATTGAGTGTAAGCCCAGATATTGTGTCAAGGGCTTTGTATGAGTCACCCCCCTCAAACTTCATAACTCTGGTAAGTACTAGTACCATCCTCATTTTACAGATGGAAATTCAGGCAGTTAAAAGAAGTTAAACACTTATTCAGGGTTATAGAAAGGGACAAAGTGAGCTTTGAGCTTATGTATGAGTCCAAACAATATACTCAATCTCTATACTGGTGTTACAGAGAGCTATGTTTTACCAGTTTTATAAATACAATCTAATTCTATTTATGTAAGCAAAATTTCACTTCTTGTAGTAGAACTGTTACATTTTGAACATGTTCCATTTATGGCTCCTTGTGACTCCCCTTGTTAATTGCTGTTTTGCTTGTATTTAGCAAACCATTCAAGCTTCTATTTGTAATATCCACAATCACTAATGTTTTCATCATCATCAACATTACGGCTATAACTATTTGCACTGGTGGAAAAAGCAAGAGTAACTAACAAGTGTACCAGTGGCATTATCTCCCTTATCTTAACATCAACTTTCTAAGGTAATTATGATTATCCTTATTTTACAGAAAGGAAACAGGCTATGTAACTAGCCCAGATTAAACAGCTATGAAAAGGCAATGCATGGAATTCAAAGGCAGAACTATAGACTCTAAAACCTTTACTATTTCCCAGAGATTAAATAAGATACATATCAGTTTTCTATTATATTTGAATTATATAACTTATCACTTATGTATAAGATGTAATTTTTGAATTAAAGATACAACTAAACAACCACAAAGCTAATTTTTAGTAAATTCTTATACACAAACACAAATAAATAGAAATAGAAATAAAATAGCTCACCATTCTCGTTGCATCTTACTCAGTCCCAAGTAAATCTTTATCTCCTTTTTAGGAGGCAGACTCCTCTCTACATCAGTTTTTATACGACGTAACAAAAATGGTTTTAAAACCTAAAAAGTGACAGCTCTTGTAAACGCATGTAACCTACTTAATATTTCAGATTACGTATTTCATTAACAATTCTGTGAAATTTACTTTCCAATGTATAATCAGACAACAACTATCAGTAACAATTGCCAACTTTCTTGGTGAAGAACTACCAAGTAATGGGCTTTTAGAAAATAATAACAATGGGCTGGAAGTGTAGCTCTGGGATAAAACATATACTTAGCATTCACAAGGCCTTCAGTTCTATCTCAGCAGTTAAAAACATAGAGGATCTAACTTAGACATTTATGATTTGATGGTACAAAATACATTAAAAATTAAGGCAACAAGACTATTGACCACTGAATAAGCACTTAAGAACTTGTGTGTGTGTGTGTGTTTGTGTGTGTAGGGGGAGCGAATATTGGGTATTGGACCCAGGCCCTTTACACTGAGCACATACCCAGGCCTTTTTAAAATTTTTGAGACAGGGTCTCAATACACGGCCCCAAATGGACTTGAAATTGTGATCCTCCTGCTTCAGCCTCCCAGAGTGCTGGGATTACAGGTGTACACCACCATGTCCAGCTTGGAGAACTTTTTTTTTTTGAAAGCTGTTGTAATATAACAAGATATTTAAACCTGATAGGAAATCTGAAGTCAGACTTTTGATCAGAGTCTACAAAGTAGTTAAATAAATAAGAAGAAAATGATTCAATGTTAAGGAAGATCTGGATGAATAGAGAAAAAGGAAATCAGTATAGCTAGAAGACAGATTCTATCACAAGGAAATAATAGTGTTCCAATCCGTGGAGTACTTACCTACAATGTGTCAGACACTGCACTGTGAAATTTACATGAAGTATTTGACCCTTGTAATAAATATTTCACTGAAATGTAATTATTTCAATTTTACTAAGTTCACCCAAGTCACTTTGCTAATAAATGGCAGAAGCAGAATTCAATCCTAAACCGAGATGGTTCTAAAATCAACTCAGTCCCTCATTAGCTGTCAGGAGCCGGGGTATGTTCTTTAATTTTTCCAAGACTGTTCTTCATTCATTCATCCAAAAAATATTTATGGTAAATATTTTAAAGTTTTTATAACAAGGATGATGATAATTATTTCCAAGGCTGCTATGGAAACTGTGGTAGTACATTTGTAGAGATTAATCATGGTAGATAGTAAACTCTCTTATTATTAAAGATCTATAGGAAATTTAAAAAAGGAAAAGTATAAAGTAAGACTTCTGGTTTCTGATTTGATCTTAAACTGTCTAAGAGAGATTTTTAAGAGTTTAAACTGCTGTAACACAATTCATAATAGCTAAATTTCGGGAATGACCTATATACTCATTGACAAATGACTCAATAAAGGAAATGTAGAATATGTATACACAATGGAGTACTACTTAGTCATAAAGAATGATAAATAATTTAAAGGGCACATAAAAGGAAAATGATAGGAAATGAGGAGGTAGACTCTGTGGAGATGGGAATACAATCTGGGATGGGGAACGAGGGGATGATGAGGAAGGGAAAGTAAAAATGATTAAGATGCTAGATGTATATGCATCATTTTCCCAAGATGACTGTAATTATTATTACTGCATATATATATGGACAATAAACTTCTCTAAGATATTCAGGTAGGAAGACTCAGAAGGTAGTGGAATATGAAAAAACAGCAGTCTCCCCTTGTCCACCAGAGTGCGTTCCCACCTGTGGGTATCGGAAACATTAGGTTGTACAGAATCTTATATGCACTATGATTTTTCCTATACGTATATATGTATTAAAAGCTTCATTTATAAATTCAGCACAGTCAGAAATTATCATAACTAGTAAGATAATCAAAAAAGGGAACAACTGTAACAATACACTTTAATAAGTTATGCAAATGTGCTCCATCTAACATTTATGAATTTTTCAGTTAATACTTTGATCTGTAGATGACCTTGCGTAACTGAGATCATGGAAAGCAAAACCGTGGATAAGAGAGGGATACTGTATAGAGCTTAGGAGAAAGATACAAGGAGTAAATTTGGGAGTTATCAATAATATATATGTGGTAAGTGAAACGATGGAGTGGATTCTCAGGGAAACAAAGCAGGAACAAGTTTTCAGCAAGAGTGATTGGCAGTGGTAAATAGTACGAAAAGGTAAGATGTTGACAAAAAGGTGTACCCTACATTCAGGGGGTAGAAAATCACTGAAAACTGTGAGACAGGTTTCAGCTGCCTGTGATCAGTGGGTTCAGGAGTGGTCAGGAAGATAGGGAGTAGAGGAGAGGTAAACTACTCTTTAAAGAAGATGGCTGTCAAGGGAAGAAAAAAGAGACTCACAGGTATGGATACAGTGCAGAGGGGGAGCAGTGTTATGTGTGTGTGTGAGGATGAATGGGTGAGGATTTGAAAAATAAAGTGAGCCCTTGCTCCATGGGTCACAGCCCATCTGATTGACATTTACTAAAAGCAGAGCTTGCAATTGTAAATATGTATCTTTTGCAGCTCAGCAGGATCTCAGAAGAGTCTCAAGAATTTAACTAACAAAAGAGTAAGACCTCACACTTCAAGACTCCATGGAGGGCAGAATACTAATTTGGATAATTACCAGCCAACAGACACTGCTGGCCTAGTCTCATATATACTAACCAACTCTTGTACTTTCTCCTTTTGACTCTGAAGCCCTGAACTTTCCCTTACTTTCTTTTAGTTGGTTTTCTAAATCACTAATTTTAGAGGACACTCAGTTAAACTATATACAGTATTATCACTCTTCCATTGGTTTTACTAAAGAAAACACCTCTGACATATGGATTATGACAATAGGTGGCTAGGTAACTTTTCACAGTTTTCAGGGCCATTACAGTCAAAAACACTGACTCTTCATTTGGGCTTCCTCAGGTATCTGATGGGTGACCCATTGGTAGCCAAAAACTCCATTCTCAGATCATATTAATGCTGCCATTTTCTGAACATGTGTCTCGTGACAATCCATGAAGACTGATTATGCATGCACACACCATTGAAGACTTCACTTCCAATCACCCTTCCCCATGCCTTAAATCATACTGCTTCTTTACTCCATAAATATTCCCAAAAGAGTTCAAGACATGACATAAATATCCATGTTTATAGCAACATAATTTATAATACCTGAATCTTGAAAGTAGCCCATATGTTCATCAATGGATGAATGGATAAAGAAAATACAATTATTTATACACAATGAAGTACTACTCTGTCATAAAGAAGGATAAACTTAAGTCATCTGTAGGAAAATGGAGGTATCTAGAGACCACAATGTTAATTGAAGTAAATAAAACACACAAGTTTAAATGCTGCATAATTTCTCTTCTATAAGAAACCCAGAATATAAATAAACAGCAAAATAAAAGATAGATGGTAGGAAATAGGGAGATAGCTCTTTTACAAAAGGAAGAGAGCCAAGAGATGGAGGGAGAGGAAAGGGGATGCAAAAATAATTAAAATGTGTTATGTACATATACCAACTCTCCACAAGAAACATTAATTATGTACCACAAACACATATTAATAAAAAATAAATTAAAAAATAAAAAATAAAATGGACCACAAAACCATATGTGTTTTGAAGGTGATTAGATTGAGGCATCATAGCTGACTTGCTGTTTGGAGGTAGGGTAAAAACAGAAGAGGCAGGTCACTGTGGGCATGACCTGGAAGGGTGTATTTCCCTTCTTGGCTCCTCCCATGGCTCTCTGCTTCTTGGCTGCCATGAGGAGAGCAGCTTTCCTCTGCCAAGACCCTTACATCATTCACTTTTTATGATTAAGTATGCTGAACATGGACTGTAACTTCTAAAACATGAGCCAAAATACACCTCTCCTGCTTTAATTTGTTGATATGTTGCATTGTGTCCCACCAATAAAAAGGTGACTGACAACCACAAAAAAATGATGACTCGCCAAAAAAAAAATACATAATGGGGAAGCTGGGTGTGGTGGTTCACGCCTGTAATCCCAGCACTCGGGCCGGGCGCTGAAGCAGGAGAATCACAGTGAGTTTGAGGCCAGCCTGGGCTACATAGTGAGTTCAAGGCCAGCCTGAACTACCTAGCAAGATCCTGTCTCAAAAAAGGAAAAAGATAAATCATGCAGAAAAGTCCATAAGGAAACAGGAAGAGAGGAGACCTAGTGTCCATATGTAAGACTTAGCCACTGACCAAACAAAGGGTAACACTTCTCCTCAGACAGAAGTTTAACACAAATACAGATACCCTTAGAAGACAGACATGCTTGAGGGGAGTTCCTGCCCAGTAACTTCTATTTTCTCATTGAGAAGAAAAAGTCACCTTCTCAGAGGAGCAGAGGGCAGGAGATACCTGGGACAGAAGTCTTGAATGGGAAAAGTATGAAATAGCTTTTATAGGAAATAAGAAACAGGAAACAGGCCTATAGAACGCCACATAGAAGCTACAGTTTATCATAAAATCACAGCTCATGCTAGAGAACACAAAATCATAGTAGCTCCAGGCTACAGAGTTGTAAAATCTTCTTTAAAAGTATTCAACAAGCTCAGCACAAAGGTCACTCTGCTAATAAGTGGAAGCACACAATTCAAACTTAGAAGACAGACAGTTGTACTATACCAGTTTAGGGTTTTCAAGGCACTATCGCAGATGGACAAGGGAGCAAAGGAGTTTGGGAGAACTGGCAAAAAGAGTTTTCAAAGTGATGAAAAAGAGGCTTACTGCTAAAAAGGTATAAGGTTGGATAGAGAAAAGAATCCTAATAGAACTGAGTTGATACATGGGAGAAGAAAAAATGACCTAGAATCTACAGGTCTCTTTAAGGTAACAGAACAGGCACAAAAGAGTTAACATGAGTGAGAGACAGGCAGGTCTGTGCACGCCCTACCGAGGTCCTGAGTCACGTGGAAGACGCCGAATCACCCCACTGCAGAAAGGCAGGTCTGTGCACGCCCTACCG